TTTGTGCTGGTTTGTGCCGTTAAAAGAAACCCTGTAACTATGACCGCTTCTTTTATATAATAAAAATAAACTTTTTACGAACAGTGACGTCACTCTCCACCCCATGCAATCTAAATCGTTCCAAAATGGTGCCATTTGTTTGTGCTCGATTTGTGCTGGTTTGTGACGTTCAAATTTACATTGTATCTATTTCCCGTCCTCAGAAATAACAAATACAATTCTGGGCAGTGACGTCACTCTCCACCCCATGCTGTTTTGGAGCGATTTGAGCAACATGGGGTGGAGAGTGACGTCACACGGTCAAAAAATGCCAACTTCCAAATGCTTCCAAACTTCCAAATGCCAAATGGGGTGCCAACTTCACGGAGGTTTTAAAGTTCTTTGATTAAATTTTGATTGACGTGATATGAATTTCCACACTACATTTCCTCTTAATGGTGAATATGTAATCAGGAAGAGTATAAACTGTATTTATGCTCAGTAATTTTTTTTCTTTTAATGCATCACATTAGACTTCCGCTGTTTTGCAAAACATCAGTTGCCCTTTTGTAAATTAACTTGAGGGAAAACCTTTGTTCCATAAAAAAAATCATCTGTATGATATTCACGTTCCCATTTTACTCAAAATAAAATAAAACATATTACTCTGATGTACAAATACACACAGTTAGAGTAGTAAAGATTCTGTGTTTTAAAAAGACTAGGCTAAATTACTGTGTAAAGCTTATATAGTGCAACAAATTCACCAATAAACTACACGTATCACTACTTTTCCTTTAATAATAGGCTACTCATTAATAAAATCAATACTCGAATAACAGTATATAGATGTTGAAATGTATTAAAAATTATAAAAATTTATCTGCAGCTTTGTGGCACACTGTAGTTAAAATAACAACATTTAATAACACAGGAATGTCATCGATTCTTGTTTAGTAATTGCCAATTTGTTTTTACACTACAAGTAATTTAGGGCATTTGTAAATCTTTGGCAATTACTGACTCTTACATCTGAAGACAAGGCTTCAACAAAATTGCCAAATATGTATTTGTATTGCATTTTGTTTCCTGTTATTTGATCACTGAACAACTGTTAACTGTCACTATGATGTGGCCTCTGTCCGTAAATATCGATATATTTATTTAATCAGCAAATTTAACTTGGTCAGTTACCTCATATATGCACTATTTATGGATTCAATAATAAGAAATTCAATAGGGCAGCTGAACTAACTTGCAAAATATTTAATCACGTGATGTAAACATTCACTGCTGGACCAACCAGAGAGCTTCCTACCTATTCAATCATGCATTTGCTACACAAAGATATTAAACACGTTGTTACAATGAGACTTATATCTGTTTGGTCAAATATTTGGTGCAAAGGCGTTGAGTAGTTATACAGTAGGCTATATTTCACAAGAGTTAATCTCTTGCCTTCAATTGACATCAACATTTACTATTATCTCACATATTCGGTTATGAAAAGATCGCACACAAACGAAAGGCTATAAAACTGTATTTTCGGTGAAGGTATTTCTTCATTTTAATTAATTTACATTTTATTTCACAAAGTCGTGTTTCTTTGGCCCACATGACAGTGACATGGCTAGACCCTCAATGAGTTTCTACATGAACCCAGCGCAGTCTTCTCTAGCTGAAAGTGTTTTTTAAAAGCGTACGGTACTTACGGTAGGGTGGAAGACAAGGCTCAGAATAAATCCGGGCTGTTGAAGATCAAACCGCGACTTGTTAGTCACGGATCCATTCAGGCAGCTCCGAGTCTGCACATCCTTCCACTTCCGCAGGCGGGGGCGTGATCGAAGCAGTGCGCGCAGAACCAGTTCTTTCCGCTCGCACTTGCGTGCATTTTACGCATACATTTTTGAGCTACGACAGCAATGAAAACATTTAATTTAACAGCATGTAATAAACACGTTACAGAGTTATATATATATAATATAAGTATTATATTACCATATTGGCTATATGCACTAATACCCATTTAATTTTATACAACGCACTATAGCCTATTTACATGCGTTTTTTGTTATGAATTTACAAAAAGAAAAAGATCGGCAGACCAAAACCATAACTTATGGAGAGCATGGCTATTATAATAGTGCCAGCAACATTGCAAACCAGCCAACACTTGGTTCTAATTATCTAAACATAAAATATAGTATAGTTATGTAGAACAGTGGTTCCCAACCCTGGTCCTGGAGGCACCCCAACACTGCACATTTTGCATATCTCCTTTCTCTGACACACCAATTTCAGATCTTGGAGTCTCTACTAATGAGCCAATGACCTGAATCAGGTGTGTTTGATTAAGGATACATGCAAAATGTGCAGTGTTGGGGTGCCTCCAGGACCAGGGTTGGGAACCACTGATCTAGAACAATTTCAGTTTGTGATATATGCATATTAGCATAAATCTATAGTCTTTGATGTAAAGCTTTGATGTAAAGCACAAAAAATAATGCATGTTACATTTTTTTTTTTTGTAATTATACAGCCATGCAATACGTTGTACTTTCATAACATTTACACAATATCCTGCAGACTCTTGAGATATTATCTGGCCAATACTAAGCACAATACATAGTCGACTCACAATATTACACAGACCTCATAATGTAAAATTCTATTAATCCAGGTATATCAGCACCGGTGACCGTGATTTCACCAAGTACATGTTCCTGGATCAACATCCTTGTTGATCCTGGAACAACATTCCAATCAACCAATCAGAATTGAGAGATAACTTTTCAGGAAATGTCAGTTTTAGGCTTACAATCAGGATTAGGTGCTTCTACACCCTTGGTAATCAGCTATCATTTCCCTCTAATTTTAGGAATAAATAGGGTTCGGTTTATGGGTAGGGATTGGGTTTAGTCTATATTTTTGGACTGTAATTTTGAACATGTCTTACTTCAAGAAGGTCGCTGTGATTTTGCCAAGTAAGACATGTTCCTGGATCAACATTACTGTCCAAAAATACAGACTTAACCCAATCCCCACCCCTAAACCTAACCTTACCCATATTTTTTTCCTAAAATCAGAGGGAAATGATATCTGATGAACAAGGGTGTAGAAGCACCTAATCCTGATTGTAAGCCTAAAACTGACATTTCCTGAAAAGTTATCTCTCAATTCTGATTGGTTGATTGGAATGATGTTCCAGGATCAACAAGGATGTTGATCCAGGAACATGTTGTACTTGGTCAAATCACGCTCACCTGCTTTCTTCTGCATACAAAACATACAAAAAAAAGATGATCATTCTGAATGTGAAGAACATTGTACCCCATTGACTTTCTTCGAATTATACATGTTCAAACATTCAGAGAAAAAACATCAATTTATCTTTGTGTTTGTGAGTGTGTGTGTGTTTTGCAGTAGAAAGACAATCTAAATAGTTCGTAATGGCACGAGGGTTTTAAATTATGAGGGGAGTAAATTATGTAAATGTGAACTAATCATTAGATTTCAAAAAGGAATCAACAAGTCTTTGATATCTGTTAACATTGGAAAGAATCAAGTGTTTATTGTGCAGCATTTCCTTACAAAAACGAGAATGTTGCAATACTGTTACAAAAAATGTTGCAAAGTAAATGATCAGAAAGACACAACGATTATGTGCTATAACAGAACTGTGTAAAAGAGATTCCCCTACCTTCAACAAAACACGACCATATTGAAAAGAGTTTCTATTTAGTGGCCAACTTAGATTCATATTTATTCTAGTTTTTTCTCTTTTTTTTCATGTTAGGGAAATGAAGAAAACAGTAAAAGTGGTCTAAAATAGTCAAAACAGAAATACATTAATAGAAATTCATTGAAATTAATTTCAATTCCTAGATATTAATTTCAAAATAAGGCACAATTTCAATAGTAAGAGGTAGAAATCTTGCAGTGAATTTGGCCTGACATAAAAGAACACCAACAACATTACATTATATGATTGTTTACCACTTCAAAACTCAGGTGCTTAAAGTTTACAAAAATAAGGCTTATTATTCACACAAAGCCTATTGTCTGTCACAAATGAAATTAAAGCACGTTTACAGTAGTTCATTTCCCACCTCACTCTAGCCTCAACAAAACTGAAGTTAGCAGTTAATAAAGCCATTTGGCAATAGATTTAGTGCATACTTTCCAAAAATGTGATATATGGCAATGCAATGCTTATAAAGAATTACTCAATTGTGGTAATGTATTTGGCACAGAGAGTCTGTTCAATTTCTATTGTCTGCATATGAGGAATTTTGTTTTCGATTCTACTTTTAAGGCACGTCAGTTCTATAGACTTTCCTACATTATGTGATTGTGCATTCAAGACATGGAATAAAGTAAATTCCATCCGTTTCATAAATGTAAAAACTGCAGCTGGTGTTGAATCTGGTTTTCAGAATCTAATTTGGAGAAATTAGCGAGATAATTCTGCAGATGTGCGAGGAACTTTTACACTTAGGGTTATGTGTAGAATTTGCATCCGAAGAAAATAAAAATAAATAACTTTTTTTTTTTTTTTTCAGACATGAAAAAACATACCAGCGAAGCACACCAATCCCAGCTCACAATTTCAACTCTTATGGAAAAGGAAAAAGTGGAGCGTATGAAACAGTCAACACAGGTGAGCCTCTCAGAAGCGTTAAAATGCCTTCACCCTCAGTATGCGGGAGGCTGATACCCTCCCTGTCCCGTAGGACTGGCGGTGAATGGGGACTGCTGGTAACCCTCTGGAGCACCAGTATATGCTGAAGGGTACGGGGAAGTGTGGTCACTGGATGGATCATTGTAGCCTAGGCCAACCTCGTCCATCCCTTGGCGGTATCGTCGTAATGCGAACACGGTAAGAAGGGCCTTGAGAGAAAAAAAAAGCGTGATACTTGTTTCAGTTTATCAAATATACAAGGTGACCGTCAGGCAGAAACAGGAAGTGAGATGTGCTCACCCAGGTGGCAGTGGAGAAGAAGGAAAAGGCCACCACAGCTCGAGCTGCATCAGCTAGGACGGTTGATTGAGTAGTGTGAGACCACTGATTGGCTAGGACGCAGAAACACACAAACCACAGGAACGTCCACACACCTGATGAGAAAGCAGAGAGGAACGTAAAGGGGTTTGTTCACCCAAAAGTGAAAATTCTGTCATCATTTACTCAACCCCAAACTACTCTTGTTCATCTTCAAAAACACAACTCAAGATATTTTTTAATGAATCCTGAGAAGTTTCTGTCCCTCCACTGAAATTGTATGCAACCAAAACTTTGACGCTTCACAAAGTTCATAAAGACAAACCAATCCATATAAATTGTTTGTTCTAATGTGTGATGAATGCATATGCGATACCATATTTGATGCGCTCCATGTGTGGATCATAAAAAGTAAAATAAACCCCTTAATTTTAATCTTTTCATCATATAAAGTGATCAAACCGCAGATTTATAAAGATTTGTTTTAAGATGCCGTATGTCCTTTTTGGATCTGCGAAGTTTTGGTTGTGCAAACTTTCAATGGATGGAAAGAGCACATGAGTAACAGAAAGTATGGCTCTGTTTCAAACCATAATGAGCATTTAAGTCATCATAAGTGTGCTTCAGACATGAAGCTGGCAATGTTGCTTTGTCCACTAAGACATCACTGCATGTATCCTTCATAGAGAAGGAAATGAGCGCCATTAAAAAAAAAAACGAAAAAAAATTAGCCAGTTAGATAATCATAAGTATACTTGTATTTCAACCAGCATCAAAACATACCTAACCAGCATATGCTGTTTTTTTCAACAGGGCTAGGTTTTAGATCCAAGCAAATATGTGGTTTTTAGACACTGTCCGATAAATAAATGCATTCTGCAATTAAACTTAAAGTGACTGATAAAAACAAAAATCTGTAATAATTCTTACCAGAGAAACAAAGATCACCCAACACAATGTATTTCCTTTCGTTGGCATTGCTGATCTGGGGGAAGTAGGCATCCAGCACAATGAAGACAACACAGGCCAGGAAAGCTAAAATCCCAACACCAATTCCATAGCTGCAAGCACTTTCATTCTGATTGAACATGCATTTAGTGATGTCTTCATGCTGTTCATTCATGTAGCCTTCAGAAACTATGGTGGCAAACACCACTATGGCGAAGAGCTGTGATGGAAAGAAACAGAATTAGTGACAACAGCAGAATCTCTTTAATAATGCATCATCACAGTTGTAATCACACACACCAAGGAAACTACTACTGAGAGCGTTTACAGAGAACAACAGTGTCATGTTTGAATGGGAGGCGTGACGCCCTCACAAGATGTACATCTACTTTGGTTATAAAAAACAACAACCAACAAACAAAAAACTATATAAGACTATATATTTACACAGCAAAAGAAGAATTAGGTCAGTGATATGGGCATTTATACCCCTACATCTGCTTAAAAATGCTCGGTTAAAAGATTTAACATTTAAAATGCACTATTTTTTGTAGCTTAAAATGTGTGCTTACATTCTCTTTCTTAAAAACATTTATTTAGATGTAATAAAAGAGTGGCCAGTGTAATATGTAACAAGTGATGAATACTGTTGTTGTAAATGGTTAGAAATGGTTGGAAAGAAAGAAAAACACTCAAACTAGCTGCATAAAAGAGCTGCATGTGCTATGTTGACATGTTGACAAGTCACATGATGCAGAAGACCTCAACAACAAACTCCCAAACTGCTGCTGCCATATGGTCTGTGTTTTGCAACTTGTGACAGCAGAATTTAGATTTGCGTTTAACTTCTGTTAAACTAACAGTTTGAGGCAAGCGGCAGTATTACAAACTTTCACCGAGTAGGAGCACTAGCTCGATTAGCTAACGATGACTTTGATCTAGCTCACCCAACTGAACAGCCTGGCGATAGTCTGCGGTCGCTTTAGAAAGCTCCAGAAGTCAAAGGCTCCACCGGCCAGCGATGCACCGTAAGCACTCGTCTCCATGTCCGCGTTCGTGACACTCTGGCCCCTCTTTATTTGTCAGCGCTTCGGCAAGTTGTCCAGCTTGATGATACGCTCGCTGTTTACTTTAACAATTGTTTCCTGAAAGTACCGCACCACCCTTCAAGGAAGTACACGTCACGTCAGAACGAGTATTGCCACATTATAATATTTGAACCGCCCCTGTTCATCTATCTATCTATCTATCTATCTATCTATCTATCACTTTAATACTTAAATATAGGCTGTCATTCTGTTGATCAAGTGCTCCAGCAATCCTGCATGCTTCAGTAATCAGCAGCTATTTGACATATGGACATGCTTAAATATGTATGAGTGCAAAGACGTTTCCAGTGTTGTGCTGTTTGTTCGGGTGTAGTCCTGATGTTTCATCACTTTGCACACAAGGGTTTGCCCTTGAGTTTACACAGCTCTGACTGCAGAAGCTGACCACGTGGCCTCAATCTGTAGAACACCCTTAAAACATCGAAATACTTTATTTATGTTGTTTGTTGTGCTTTTAATGATTCTTTGTGAACTGCGTAAGTACCGATGAATATAGTCCTCTAGGTGGCGCTATTAATCTACTTGTAATTTAAATGCTCACCTAAAAATGAATAATTTTCATAGCTCGCCCTGTTGAAAAAACCAGCATATGCTGGTTAGGTATGTTTTGACGCTGCGATGCTGGTCCTTTGCTGGTTTATGCTGGTCCTTTGCTGGTTTATGCTGGTCCTTTGCTGGTTTATGCTGGTCAAAGGACCAGCTTAAACCAGCAAAGGACCAGCATAATCCAGCAAAGGACCAGCTTAAACCAGCATCCCAGCGTCAAAACATACCTAACCCGCATATGCTGTTTTTTTCAACAGATGTCTTCCAAACCTGAAATCATTTCTGTAGTGAAATACATCAAAATAATGATATGTTGAAGAATGTCCAGTCAAAATTTTCAATATATTGCGTGTGTGTGTGTGTGTGTGTGTTCCATGGAAGAAAGAAAGTCATACAGGTTTGGAATGGTATAAGTAGCTGATGATATGAATTTTCATTTTTCGGGGGATCTGTATCAACTATCCATAGTTACTTCAATACAGTGGACCCAAAAAAGTATTTGAACATGTAAGCCTCAATTTAAAATGCATTCATTGTTTTTTTTTTTTTTTGTAGCCTACATAGTAAAAAAGTAAGTGCCATTTAAAAAAAATAAAAATAAATATAGCATAAGCACACTTTTCAATCAAAACATCCCACAAAATGAAGTTTGTTAATATGATTCAAAAAGAAACAGATGCAAAGCCGAGTTGCACAAAAGTGCGAGTGAATGGCTGCATTCCAGAACTTGCTGCATCTTTGCAGTGTAGATGGAGATGCTCTCTGACAGACACAGAGGATTTCATTCGGTAGAAAATTATATAAGATACATGTTTTAAATCAGCCTTATTGCAGATGTTATAGTAATGGAAGCTACAGTTGCCATTATAAAATACATTTACAGTACATTACCAAACTCAAACTCAAATCCATACTGTTTATAACTATCTAATGTGTTGTCAAAAGGTGTGATGAAAATATGACACGGCCATGAGATCTGTAACGTATGACTGAGTCTGTTATAGCTGACATTTTCAGATGAAAGCTGAGTTACGGTAAGCAGTCTCTACCACGGTAAGGCCTCTGTTTACAATTTCACATACCACCCTGTAATGTAAAATACCTGTCTCCCTATATACAGTGTTGTTTGTGATAATAGTACCAAACCAAATAATAATTAATAAAAACAAAATTGTAAGACGTGAGCTCGTTCTTGTTTCTTCCTCTCTGCACGTTGCCTGTGGTTTGTCACTTTGTATGCAGTCTGTCAACTGTGAAAATGTTTCTGCTTATTCACAGAATGGGTACTGTTGAAGTACCAGTCACTTTTTATACGTATGAAAACTTTGAACAGTGTATTTTCCTTTTTAGACTGTGCTGGAAACTTCGCGTATAGCAGCAGCTGTTTAGGTGAGTATTGCAATTGGTGGTACTTTATCAGAACAGCTGAGAAATCAGTTTTTTCTGTCTTAAGATGAATGTTATTGAATGAACAGCTAAAGTGGGTTGATAGAAAAACTACAATTAGATCTACTGTGACAGTATACTTTAGCATGCTTTATAAAAGTACATACTATGAAAATAATATGCTTTAAACGAATATACTTAATCTTGATCTGAATGTAATGTTTGCAGACAATTTTTTTGCATGTTAACGTCAATTAAATGAAAATGTATTATAGTTGAAATTTATATTAAAGGCAGGTAATTGAATGTGCAAAGGCATTCACGCTAAGCTATAACATTCTTTAATGCCATTTGTAATGATTAGCATATTTAACTTCAAATTTTAACATCAAATAAAACACTACAGTTACATTATAATCAAGTACTTTACATGTGTGTTACTATGTAAGTCAACATATCATAATAAGTGGACTTATTTAAAGCATGACAAAATATTCCTAAAACAGTGATTTCAAATGTGTTTTAAAGTAAAGCGTATAATTTGACATTATTACAGAGTGGACTTTAGTCACATGGTCATGAAAGTGTACTGTCTTAAAGCACAATTTTATTGCATTAATATTATAGTATCTGTAAGTACAGTTTTTAAAAAATATATACTTTTAAGAATGGACTACAATTAAGTGCACTTCTTTTTTACAAGAGTAGTTTAATGTAAGGAATGGACAGTTATTTAAAATATATTTTTTAGAGAATGTTTATTATGTTATGGCATCTTATGATGTTGATTTTGACATAAATGAAAGATACACTTTTTGTTTCTGTTGTAGATTTATGGGGTTTATCACTGTAAAAAAAAATCCATTTACAGTCTTTTACCGTTAAATTCACGGTAATTTTTTACAGTATAAAAATGCTCTGAAAAATAAATCCCAGGCAAATATTGGCTTTTAATATGAAAATTCATTTCTGATATGGCTCATCACCTATTGCTTACACAGCTCTAGACAGTCTGGATGGCTGCATCCCAGATTATGGAGATGACTTCCAGTGAAGATGAAGACCAAGACCTGATTGAGCTCGAGGCTATTAGGAGACCATACAGAGTAGTGAAATGTGAGTACTACACAGCATACAGATAGCCTGACATAAATCCCATAGGGAAGAAATAACTTATTTTAACTCTAACTTCTAACTTTTTTCTGTTTGTAGTTGATCTGACACATGCAAATCAAGAAGCTCAGCATTACCATGAGCCCAAACACACAGATGCCCTGCACAGGAACAGCTGGTCCTCTTCAACCCAAAGGGTCCTGTCCTCCATGCCTAGCCGATCTATCAGTAAGAAAATGTTTTGATGCTGTTTTTTTTTCATATAGATTTGCACAATTAATAAAATCATAGCTGTTTCACTAAAATATGCTCTTGTGGCTGTAACACTGGCCCCAAACAAAAATATATGAATTTTATTGCATCAGACAACAAAATAATAGTATATGCAAACAAAACCTCATGAAAAAGAGCATACTTTTAGCATACTTTTAAAAAGAGTGCTGATTCCGGAAATAATAAGTGTATTAACACTTAAGTGCAAGTTATTTACAATTATATGAAAATGTATATTTTAAATGCATTTAGTTAAACTAAAAAGTACTTTTTGACCCACTTAAGTAGGACTTAAGTACATCTTTATGTAATTTTATAATTATTATGTCTGTTGTGTATAAATCTGTCTTTGAAATATGGATAAAGTGTACTGCTGAATGTACTGAAAAGCATTTATGGTCAACTAAAATATTATTTAATGTCATTTCTACTCAATTATGTAACTTTAAATACATTTTTAATTACACAATATTATAAAATCTGCAAGTAATTTTTTTAAATTAAATATATACTTTTAGAATTAGAAGTACACTACAAGTGCACATTCAATACAATTATGCACAGTTATTTTTTTACAAGAGTAGTCCAACATAAGTACAATTAAGTTCAAGAAATGTCCTCTAAACCGATTTCTTTTAGAGGTTTTTTTTTTTCAACTGCTTACACACAAAATCTTTACTTGTCACACAATTTCTGAAACCTGAAACTCAAACACCAGAACCACACACCAAATATTTTTTATTTTCAAATGCAATTCCAATTACACATTATATTTTACGGTACTTGTAGTTAGTTAGTTGTAGCAATTGCACATTGAGATACAGAAGAGCAGAGACTTCTCCACTAACAATGTATTTATTAACTCCAGTTTCTAGTGCACAATGTCAATTTATGATCCTTTTTTGCTTTGCCTTTTCTCAGGATTTAATCAGTCGACTGCGCTCTCCCGATCCACCGAGACGCGAAGAAGACGACCTCTTAGCATTGTGTCCACCGCTTACTGCGCTACAGACCAGGACGTCTTCAGAGGGCAGGACGACTGCGAGGATGATGGTTTGCAGCAGTAAAACACTCACAATGCCAACAATTTGAAGCAAATATGACTTATATCATGAGGAATCAAATTGTTCTTGATCTTTAAAGATGAGAGCGTTTGATGTACTGTGACAAATACTGTAACTTTCAGAACTTCCTCCTCAGTGACAAAGAAAGTTTACTGAAACTACACTGCAACAACCACTTGTTGTTTACTTCTCTAATTTAATTTCACACTTATTTACATAAAAGTCTTAAAGGCACAGCAACAAGAAACAGGCTGTTTACAGAAAGATATGTAGAAAATAATCTTTATTAAAGGGGTGGTTGATTGCGATTTCACTTTTTTTTACGTTAGTTAGTGTGTAATGTTGCTGTTTGAGCATAAACAATATCTGCAAAGTTGCAGCGCTGAAAGTTCAATGCAAACGGAGATATCGTCTTTTAAAATTCTGGCAGTTTAATGCCTACAAAAACGACTGGTAGGGACTACAACGAGCTTCTTCCCAGGTCCGTTACGTCACGAACCCAGATAAACCCCGCCCCCGGGAACACGCAGCAAAGGGGGCGAGGCCATGCTGCGCTGCTTTAGAGAAGAGGAAGAGAAAACTAGAGGTGCATGTAAAAATCTGTTCATATATGAATCGCGATTCTGTCTTCTAACGATTCTAATGGATTCACAAGTTTCAAAACCAATGTTCTAAAGCAGCGGTTCTCAATCCTGTTCCTCGTGTTCCCCTGCTCTGCATCTCTTTCTCTCTCTCTCTCTCATTCAGATCGTCAGCTCAGCTCCAACAAACTGTTCCATTTATACACTTATTTTCACATAGCTATGAGAAGCGTTATACATGGACGTGCGTACGGTTGCAGATCAGAATAAAACCATATATTAAAAGCTAACAGAAGCAGTAGCATTTACAAACAACAGCGTATCTAAAAGTATGGGACAACAACAAACAAACATACCATTAAGAGCAGTGCTTGCACAGGTTCTGCGTGATCCTCTTCACTAATATTCTCTGCGTCTCAATCGAGCTCAGATTGATAAGCAATATAGAGGACGTCATTGTTTACAATACAACCGAAGCACATGCTGAGCTTGAGGGGCAGGATGTTCAGACGCACGCTAGAGGCGGTTTAGCGAATCACAAAACACTGAGCCAGCTGACCAATCTCAGCCCATCGCGTATTTCTGAGGGAGGGGCTTCATAAAAACAGGAAATAATCGAGGCGTTTGTTAGAGAAGGGACAGAATAAAGGTAAATTATGTGAAAAATAATGCGTTTTTAAAAAAACGAAGCATGAACACATGTTAGACTGCACCCCATAAACACAATCAAGCCTAGAAAAAACCCAGTCAACCACCCCTTTAAGACACTTTGTTTCTGTGTTCTGGTTCTAGTGACCCAAAATGAAGACCTGCTAAACAAACTACAAGGCTTGTCTGCTGGTGAATGTGTGCGGGTGTTGCGTGAAATGCCCCTTAGTGTCTCGGAGAAGCGCCAGATCAGGTACAGAATTCAGTGTAATACTCACTTTTAGACAGTGTTATTACATATTTAAAAGAGTGCAATAATTCATTTGTTCTTCGTGTCAAAATGGTTCATTTCTTTGTATCTTATCTAAATGTGTCTTTTTAGAGCTTGGGTTGTCTGTTGGGATGCTGGACAACCTCTCTCTGCTAACAGAGCCCTGTGCTGCCATCAGTTTAAAGCTTGGTTCTTGAAGGTGAATGTCTTCTTGTACAGTAACATTAAGATCAACATTAACACATGTATTTACATTTGGCAGTTTTCATGAGTAGTCCTCAAAAGGACTTGCTTTTCAGCAAAGTATCAGTAAAATGAGTTGCTTAGCTATCAAACAGTGCTCCTCAGATCAAAGTATTATTTATTAAATGTTCTGTTTTATTTTATATTTATTTTACACAAGGTTGCAACACTCTTACCAAAACTTGGGACAGATGTGAATACAGTTTTACACCCTAACCTGCGTTACTCCATTTTTTCAATACTAGATATTGAATAAACATACAAATTAAACAAATTTCTGTCATTCAGGAAAAATATATATCTTCATTGTATGTATAGACACACACAGACACACACACACATACAATGAGGATATATATTTTTCTTGAATGAATGAATGAATAAATTATGTATTTGTATACCGCTTTATTGTGTATTGCTGTACACCTAAAGCGCTTTACAATCATGTGGGGGGGTCTCTCCTCAACCACCTCCTTCTTCCCACCACACAGCAGAAAAAGTCTTTCTATATTTTTTATTGAATGGTCAGTTTTTTCAAAATGGTAATTGGTGGTAATGGCAAATGGTAATGGTAATTTTTCAAAATATTTTTTTTTGCAATTAATTAAATATCAAATCAATGGGTTTTATCTACAATAATTTTTCAGTTTTCTCTCAATGCTGATTTTATTCCTTCATTGCTTTAACAAAGTAGGGGGACACCAATTTGTACCCTATTCATACAAATAACCATTGAATGTGGCATTTTTGAACATTTCATATTTTCCGAGTAGAGTTTAATACTGAAATCAACAGTTCTTGATTCATTAACCTGTATGCACACTTGTTTTTGCTGCATAGGTTTTGTGTGGTGGCTGCTACGGTAGAGTCTCCCAGCAGAAATCCATACAGCTCTGGCAGGGAGTGCTTAAAAACATCAGCGCTCACTTCGGCACTGGGATTCTGTCCTATTTCATCTTCCTCAGAAGACTGTTACATTACAACATCCTCCTCTTCCTCATCACCGGCCTTTTCCTGGTCCTACCACAAATCTCAAATCCTCCATCATCAAAAAACAAACCCGCAGCCACAGCTGACCTCTGGATGCTTACTGGCATGGTAATTTATGTATATTTTAAAAACATTGGTGCTTTATATTAGGGTTTCCAGTCCCTGGAAATTTAAGATGGCCTACATTTTTATTACTTGGACTCTGAATGCTATGGTTTTTTTGTTCCTCAACAGGGCATTCTCACAGACTCTGTGATGTTTTATGGCCACTATGCCAACTCCACCAATGAAAACTGCAAAGCAGAAATAAAACTGTGTCCAGAAAATTACAACATGCCACTGGCGTATATTTTTACTATTGGAGCAGGCATGTTTATCACATGCGTACTGCTTGTTTACAGGTTTGTCTGTTTTCCTTATACATTGTGTTAATTCAATTTCACATCATTAGCTTGCTCCGTGATTAAGTGAGATTTTGTTCATCCTTTCAGTATATCTAAATCATTCGGAAAGAGTTTCCGCATATTCAAGACTACCAGTAACCTAGCTTTAAAGGTTTTCTGCTCTTGGGATTTTAAAGTCAGCAAGAAACGGTCTGTTAAGCTGCAGTCGGTGAACATCTGCATTCAGCTGAAGGTTTGTGTCATTATGACTCTTCATGTTAAAACTAATTTATGCTCCAGAGAAGTAATAATTGCATTGAAAAATGCCGTGCACAAACATGTTGGTATATTTGAATAGATGTTTGCATAGTAAATTCAGATAAAATGTTCTGGTTAAGGTCAACATGGTGATATGAATAAAAAAAGATAAAGATATTGCTAACCCTAGACTGCAACTTCCACTTTATTAACTTTCTTAAGGGTCAAAAAGACAAGGCCAAAGAAGCTTATAATAGCTGGATCTGGCAACACGACAGAGGCTGTTCCTGTGCCCTCTCTCACAACTCTCTCAAGTATTGTTCACTCCGCCAGCGTCTCGCAATTCTAGCAAACTGTCTAAATTGAATAAGCTATACATGCACACACTCATACAAGGAGTTTTAAACTGCAAGTTAGTCATTCAGTAAACAGATTTTATTTTTGAACAAGAAAAATTTAACTCAGCTAAACCGTTCTCAAGCCAGGCTCCCACAGGCTGGTCAACCACTTTAACCACCCAAAAACCAACCCGAGTGTTGTAAAAACCAGCAACAATCTTATGCTGGTTTTAATTATGTGTGTCATTTGCAAACACTTTAGAATACTGTTCTGTAATTAATTAATAACTAGGAACAAATGGGTTACACAATATTAACATTGTAGTTAGTTACCATTTTCGACAAGAAATGCTGATTAATGAATTAAAGCACATAACTGATTGCGGTAGTGCACTATTTTTTAACTCGTTTTTTCATTCCTCCCAGAGAACTACTAAGAAACTTTATATAT